GATTGGGGGGGCAAGGCGGGCGACGGAAGGCCGATGCCTCCGTTGCCCGGCCCTCTACAGAATCCACCCCCCAAACCTCCAGGTATTTCCCTCCTTAGAGCTGGCAACCCTACATTCCCCTCAGTGCCTGTTGGTAGGCAACTAAGCTTGGTCCTGTCACCTACTTTGGCCTTTGGGAGAAACCACATTGGGGCCAATCCTGATAGGGTTGCCAACTCCAGATGGGAAATTCCTGGAGACTTGAGGGATGGAGCCTGAAGAGGGTGAGGTTTGAGGAGGGGTGGGACCTCAGACAGGTACACTGCCATAGACTCCACCCTCCAAACCAGTCAGTCCCACATAGGGAACCATTGTTGCCAATCTCCAGGTGAGGGCTGGAGAGCACTCAGTATTACAACTGTTCTGCAGAAGGGAGGGCAGAAGTCAGCTGAAGTCAAAGGGGCAGATAATGGTAGGTTGGTGGCTAGCTGGGAAGGAGATGGGGTTGCCAACTACATGCTGACAAATTCCTGGGGATTTGAGGGGTGGAGCCTGGAGAGGGTGGGGTTTGCAGAGGGGTGGGACCTCAGACAGGTAGAATGCCATAGACTCCACCCTCCAAACCAGCCATTTTGTCCTGGGTAACAATTGTTGCCAATCTCCAGGTGAGGGCTACAGATTACTCACAATTACAACTGCTCTTCAGGTAGCAGAGATCAGTTCCTCTGGAGAAAACAGTGGACTCTGTCATTATACCCTGCTGAGGTCACCACAGCAAATTGACACTGTTTGTCCAAAGCCAGAACACTGCCCCAGAGCCTCTTTCTAGATCCCGTTGTATTGCTTTCACAACGGGCTTTACTGCTAGTAATCTTATAAACCTCGATCATGTCACCCCTCAGCTGTCGTTTCTCCAAGCTAAAGATCCCCAAGCGTTTCTAAGGTGTGATGTATCGTGCCTCGATCAGAGATAAAATCGTCTTCAGTGCAACGGAGAAACTAAAGGAAAGACACAATACATCACATAATGTGCTACTGGACTAGAATCCAACTGTCCATAGATGGATACTCTCTCCCAGTCACCATGGCTGGTAGCCATTGATGGATCTCTCCTCCACGAATCAGTCTAATCCCCCTTTTAAAGCCACCTATACGTATGGCCAAATTTAGAGTCCAGTGGCACCTTGAAGACCAAGAAAGGTTTATTCAAGGCATGAGTTTTCATGTGTGCACGCACTTCTTTCAAATATTTCAAGTATTTGAAAAAGTGTGCATGCACATGAAAGTTCATACCTTGAATAAACTTTTCTTGGTCTTAAAGGTGCCACTGAACTCTAAATTTGTTATTCTGCTTCAGACCAACACGGCTGACCACCTGGAACTATACTTATGGCTGTTTCTACCTCGGATGGCAGTGAATTCCCACAGCGTAATTTCCCAACGAATAATAAAAAAAGTATTTCCTTTAGTCTGCTCTGAGCCTATTTTCCTACAATTTCATTGGATGCCTGCCTGGGGTCTAGTACGATTGGAGAGGGAGTAAAACTCTGGCCTCGAACTCATGAACTCCAGGAAGGTCTGGAGGCTTGGTGAGGTCTCCCTCATTTACAGGCTGAGAAGCGAGTTTTCCTCACAGCAGCCTGTGAAACCTCATAAGCACTGTGGAACCAAAGGCCAGTGACAGAAGGCCTCTTGCCAGCTTCCCTCTTCTTTGCTCCACTTTCTGGAACTCCTTTTCTGGGGAAGAAACCCCCACTTCCTCAAAGAAAAAAGGCACTTCAGCTCCCTTCTCCGTCTCTCGGAGTTCATTCCCTTCTCCTGTCATGCTGCTGGGCAATCCCCCAACAGGCCTCCCTAAAGAAGGCAGCGTTTCCAAGCCTAGCAGGACCAGGGCATCCAGTCTCAATGGAAGAGGCAGGGAAATTAAACCTGTATAACTTCTACAGTGCCATGGAAAACAGGTCACAAACTGTGTTAAATATAATCCCAAATGAACATAAAGGAAAAAAAAACTTGTATATACTAACATATATGCTCACAGCGGCTAGAATCCTGATAGCTAAATACTGGAAACAAGAAAAGATTCCCAAGAGAAAGGAATTAACTGAGAAACTTATGGATGTCGCAGAAATGGAAAAATTAACAGTAATTTTGCAACGGAAAGATGATAAGGTGTTTAAAGAAAGATGGGCAGAATTTTATAAATGGATAGAGAACAAAAATATGTAATAGACTCGTTTAGACTATATGTACATAATTACAATTGTAAAAGTTGTATACTTTTGATAAAATTTAAATAAAACGATTAAAAAATATATATAGAGGCCGAGCTAGACAAGCTTGTGTCTCAAGGTGTGCTTGAACCAGTGTCACACTCAAAATGGGAGACCCCTATCATGACACTGGTAAAGCCTGAGGGGTCTATCCGAATATATGCTGATTACAAATGCACAATCAACAAGGCTCTGCAGCAGCACTCTTACCCAGTCCCCGTAATTAGTCACCTACTGGCGTCATTAGGGGAGGGTAAGGTCTTCGCCAAATTAGACCTGGCCCAGACATATCAACAGCTGCCAGTAGACCCCCAGGCCACCATGGCGCAAACTATGGTCACGCACAGGGGCGCGTTCAAGGTAAACAACCGTTTGCAGTTTGGTGAGAACGTGGCCCCAGGCATATTCCAAGGCCTAATGGAGGGTTTGTTACGGGGCCTGCCTGGGGTGGTCCCCTATTTCGATGACATGTTGATTGTCGGCCAGTCTGAGGAAGAACTGACAGACCGCCTCAGGTCCGTTTCACATAAATTCCAAGAGTCTGGGCTGAAAGTAAAGAGGGCTAAGTGTCAATTAGGAGTACCCAGTGTGGAGTTCTTGGGGTTCCAAATCGACGCTAAAGGTGTCCACCCTACTGACGGGAAGGTATGGGCCATCCAAAATGCCCCCAGACCTACCTCTAAGAAGGAACTGCAATCCTTCTTAGGGATTTTGAATTTCTATCATGCCTTCCTACCACATAAGGCATCGATCGCTGAACCTTTGCATCTCCTCCTCAACAAGGGGGCAAAGTGGGAATGGGGGCCTCAGCACGATCGGGCTTTTACCGCCATTAAATCATTGTTGTCTTCTGAAGCGGTCCTTACCCACTACGACGAGGCGAAGCAACTGGTTTTGGTGGCAGATGCATCCCCGTATGGGGTGGGGGCTGTGTTGAGCCATGTGCTGGCTAACGGCCGGGAGGCACCTATCGCCTTCTATTTTCGGACACTCATCCTGGCTGAGAGAAACTATGCCCAGATTGACAAGGAGGGGTTGGCGCTAGTGGCCGATGTAAAAAAATTCCATGACTTTTTGTATGGCAGACCGTTCGTCATGGCCACGGACCACAAACCCCTCCTTGGAATCTTCACACCGGACTGCCAGACACCCCATGTATTGTCTGCGCAGATGTTACGATGGATGGTTTTTCTCTCTACCTATGACTATGTCCTGGAGCACCAGCCAGGAAAGAACATTGGGCATGCCAACGCCGTCAGCTGCTGCCCCCTGCCAGAACTGGACAATGATCCTGCACCGGCTTACGAGGTGATAGCCCTCGAGGAACTGGCTAAACCTCTGGTGCATGTGTCGGACATTGCAACCGCCTCCGCCCGGGATCCCACTATCGCCAGGGTTCTTAACTGGGTGTGGAGAGGGTGGCCGGTGGGGCGAGTCGAGGAAATGTTTAAGCCGTTTGCATCATGGCAGAATGAACTGTGTGTGCATCGGGGATGTTTGCTATGGGGCAACAGGGTGGTGGTTCCCCCAAAGCTCAGGGAACAAGTTTTGGAGGCTCTGCATGAATGCCACCCTGGCATCGTGCGCATGAAGGGACTGGCCAGATGGGACTTCCGGTTTACGAAGCAGCGATGGCGGACGCTTTCCCCGAACCGCGGGACGGCGAATCGCACACCAGCGGCCTGGAGGGGTGCCACCTCAAGTGACACCCCCGCGGAGCCTTTGTGATAGGCTCCAGGCCAGAGGGCTTTAAAGGGGTAGCCTCTTCGATGGTGTAATGCTGGATAATCGAGGCTCCCCTCCGCCCTGACGGTCCAGTCGCTGTGTGGCCTTCGGGCACAAGCTGGTTTGACCGGGACAAGTGCCGGAGATCGAGCAGAATATCATTAAAATGCAGCGTGGTCAGAGAATCTGACCGACAATGAACGTGAGTTCTGAATAAAACAGATTAAAAAAAACACAAAATGGATCCCCCCCCCGGTGTGGGAAGAAACGGATGCAAAGAGGGACACCTCTTATGTGAAGTAACTGATAAACAACGTGAAGGGGGAGAGGGGAGGAAAGCAGCGTGTGTGTTGTGAGAGACTTACTTGATTTTGGACATCGTGGGGTGAGTTTCTCAAGTCGGGAGGAAATGGTGGGAAGTGTAAACAAATCGGAAAAATGGTGGCCCAGCGTGCAAAGTTAAAAATGAAACCACCAGACAGTCAGAGTCCCAAACCGAAAGAGGGGGCAGACGTCATTACATTACTAGCGGATATGCTCAAGCCGGTGATGGGGCAACTCAATGGTATTAACCAGCAATTCACTGTGATGAACAAGAACTCTGCATCTCAGCAGCTCCAGCTGAATGAAACGGAAAAGAAAGTGGAGCAGGCTAATGAGAAAATCCAAGAGATGGACACCACAAATAAGAAGTTGAAGAAAAGACTGGGAGAAGCGGAAATAAAGCAGAATCTTCAAGAAAATCGTGTACTGCAATTACAGATGGAAAAAGCCAATATGATTCTCAGGTTCCAGGGAGTTCCTGAAGCAGCGAAAGAGGACCTGAGGAAGCTGCTTAGTGAGATCATCGCTCCAGTGATAGGCTTTACAGCGGATGAACTGATAAAAGATATGGAGGTGGGCCAACTATATATAAAAAAAATAGCCTACCTGGAGAAATTGTGGTCAGATTCTCAAGAAGACAGAATAGAGATGCTATTTTAAAAGCAACATCAGCAACTCCACTGAAAATAGGAAATGTAACTATCAAGACGCTAAAAGACATTCCATTTGAAATCCGGCAAAAGAAGAAAAATTACAGATTTGATTGCTTTTCTTCAAACTAACGGAATAACGTACAGGTGGGCGATCCCGGAAGGGGTCATCTTTAGGATTAACGACAAAAGAGAGAAGATAGACTCCATTTTCAAGGCCAAAGAGTTTTTGCAGTGACAGCTTGGAACAGAGGAAGAGTCTAAGAAGAAAAGAAATCTAGTGACTCTGCTACCTCTGGAACGGAAGAAGA